TTCTTGTTCCTAGTAGTAAGGCCCTTGCTCCTAGTAGCGATGCCAGGCACAGAAACCAAGCCACAAGACACCCTTCAAATCAGGAAAACACCCTGGCACGGCGTGACGAAACAGCCTCCTGCCGTCCCTCTGCCTGGGCCAAACGTCACCTGAACCGAATGAAAAAATCAAGGGTCTGGCAGGCAATTGTTCCAGGCACACAAACCAAGCCAGGAAAACACCCTGGCACGGCGTGACGGAACAGCCTCCTGCCGTCCCTCTGCAACCAAGCCAAGACACCCTTCAAATCAGGAAACACCTTGGCACGGCGTGATGGAACAGCCTCCTGCCGTCCCTCGGCATGCCCGGGCCAAACGTCACTCCGAGCCGAATGAAAAAATCAAGGTTCTGCCAAGCAATTCCACTGTTCCAGGCACAGAAACCAAGCCACAAGACACCCTTCACACCAGGAAAACACCCTGGCACGGCGTGACGAAACAGCCTTGTGCCTGAACGGAATGAAAAAATCAAGGTTCTGGCAGGCAATTCCACTGTTCTTTCGAATCAGGAAAACACCCTGGCACGGCGTGACGAAACAGCCTCCTGCCGTCGCTCTGCCCGGGCCAAACGTGACTCCTGAACCGAATGAAAAAATCAAGGTTCTGGCAGGCAATTGTTCCAGGCACACAAACAAAGCCAAAAGACACCCTTCAAATCAGGAAAACGCCCTGGCACGGCGTGACGGAACAGCTTGTGCCGTCGCTCTGCCCGGGCCAAACGTCACTCCTGAACCGAAAAGCAAGAGTCTGGCAGGCAATTGTTCCAGGCACACAATCCAAGCCACAAGACACCCTTCAAATCAGGAAAACACCCTGACACTCTTTCCATGCCTCAGCCAAATGGCCTTCACAGGCTTGGATCTTCTCTGCCAGGTTCTGGCCCCTGAGCTTTTCCACATCACTTTTGTTCAAGACTTTGGAAAAGCCATCCTGGCGCTTGTCAGTGGAAGCCATGTTTGCCCTAAGTGCAACTCTGAGGTGTGGGAAGACTTGGCCTGGCACTCTGAAATTGGTGGTGGCAATGGCTGACATGAGCTCTGCACCAATCATCAGCTGGCAGCTGAAGTATTTGCCTCAATGGAACACCATTGTGTATTGCCAAAACATTGCATCGCCAAAAACTGCAAAGCAATATACACTGCAACATGTCAAACATTGACACCAAAAAATGACACCAACAAAGTTGGCAAAGCATTTGGCAAGATGCTGAACCGCTGGAGGAAGGCTATCAATGGACATGTTTCCCCACCCGCATAATGCTGGACAAAGTAGGCGATGGAGTCCAAACTGTCCTGGCATGCAATGGCACCATCTTTGGCTTTTGCCAATGCCTGGTTCAAAGTCATCCCACCTTGGAAGAACTGTGCCAAAGTGGCTGCCACTTCCAGCTCATTGGCAGCTTTGGCAATGGCATTGGAGCTGTTCAATGCACATTGGAAAATACCTGGCAACATTGGCCAAGCTTCCTCCACCTGGCTGGACAAAACCAACCACTGCCATCCATTCTGGATCAAATCCCTGCATGGGTCTGACTTGGTGATGTCGAGCTTGTCACCCACTGG